TCAACTTTTAAGTGCAACGTTTCTTCAACTGTACTTCAAACATCACAATCAAAACCACTCACGAAAATATATTCCCTCTTCTTTATGCATTACTTTAACTCACAGCCACTAGTAAGGACAAGATGGCTATATTTTTTTTCCTTTTTTTCAAATATATTTTTCAAACTTTTTTTATCCTTTTCTTTTTCTACTATTTTTTTCTTTGTATTTTGTATTCCTCGCTAGTCGTGTTCTCTCTAAGATTCGAGTGTGCCTTTCTTCCTTCCATTGGTTCCACTAAACTATTTTCATTACTTCTTTCTAGCGCATATTCATACAATTCAAGTGCTCGAAGAGGTAAAAGGTTCAAAACGTAATAAAGAACAAAGGGTAATGCGAATGCCAAAGAAAGGGTCTACAAGCTCAAAAGATCTAGCTACGGATAATTTTATTTGTGGTAAGCATAAACGCTCATTAAGATTAAAAAAGGCCTAAAATTATTATTCAAACTAACAGTACCTAGAATTTCGCTTCAACTCACATGTCGGACAAGTTCTAGACACAATTGTAAAAATATGGACTATACAAGAACTCACTTCATACAATGATATATGATTTAGTAAGGACGTTCTCATTCCGACTTTCAAACAAGTAAATATTCACATAGCCAAGAGATATAAGCATAACGCACAAAGTGAATACAAGTTAAGAGAACGAGCCACAGGCATAACGAAACATGCTATCCAAGTTTATCTAGGCATCATCAAATATCTAAAATAAAGGAAAGACGATACATATGCTAAAGCGTAAGTATGCTACTATCAAATAAGTCAAAAGGCATGAATCAAATTATTCTTCCTTAAGTCCTACACTATGTTATGTATTAGAAAAAAATACTATCCGATTCAAGTAGCTTCCCATAGAAATGAACCGGGATACAAAGAAAAATCACGGGAAATTATTACTATCTAAAGAAAATAAAAAGACATCTTTTTATACTTTTCTATTTTTTTTATATTTTTATTTGGACTTTAACCCCTCAAGAAAACTGTCTATGAGATCCATCGTAAGGAAAAGTTCAATCTTTTTTTATCCAATTTTTTGTCGTTGTTTTGTTTTGTTTTCAACAACACACCTAAAATAATGCGAGTAAAATGACACATGAAATCAACCAGATAATTCTCCACCCCATACTTAAAATTTTGCATTGTCCTAATACACACAATAAATAACATGAGCATAAATAGAAAATTCCTAGTAGGCCAAAGACAAAAGTATTAGCAACTCATGGAATACTCAGACTTCTCACAGGCATAGTCCTTTGTACGGGTATCCCACACTCGGTTCCAACCATCTGACTTGCTTTTGCTTCCTTTCAGTGGCTTTACTTTCTATGCTCCTACAAAATTGCAAAAAGCTACATTATAAAAAAAGAATACAATAGAAAAGGTTTAAAATAAATCCAGTAAAGTTAGGTTGCCTTCCAACAAACACCTTAATTAACATCGTGACACGACGTGAATCACCTTTTGCCTCCACCTCGAGATTATGAATTGAATCTCAAGTTTTGATTCAAGCTTATGATACGCTCTTTAGGTGGTACAAATTATCGTGAGCCAAAAATTAAATAATTCCTTATGCACTTTTTGGCTTTCAACTGAGGAGTGTCACATTGCCTAGACGGTCTCGAAAATTCAGAATATAAGGCTCATATACCTCTTCTCTTGACTATGTTGTATGCTCGTAGGGTTCCATTCACATTTTACCATCAAAACACAATATAGAGAAGTGTTTTGAATGAGGCCTGGCACACTCGTATATATCAATTTCGAGATGTTCGACATCCTCAACATAAGTGACACTAGAGTCAGCTAAATTTGTATCTTGATTGTTCTTGGTTGACTCTAGTATCACTTCTTTAATATTGGCTTTCTCAAATTCTAGTTGGTTAGATTGTTAGTCTTCTACTATGACCTCCTCTGTCAGTACCTCAAATTCTGCGTAGGATGCACACTTTTCTTGGCTAATATCCATAATATTAGCTTGTTGAACATTAAAAGCTTTCACCAATTGACTCACTTGAGCTTTCAAGTTGTGCATAAATGTCTCTTGTCTTTGTATCTGTAATTGTATCTTATTATTTGCTCAACAAGGCACATTAACATATCATTAATCTCCTTAAGGTTTGCATCCCCCGGTTCTTTATTCTTATTAACTTCACAAAAAAAGTAGAAGGGAGGGTGGGAGAAAAGAGGAGGGAGGAGAGAGAGAATAGAGATGGAGAGATGAGAGATGTGCCTATCTGGGAGGCTTAGTGAATGCCGGTGCCGGCAAGTTCGACGGATGTGAAAATTACCGTTGAATCGAAGAGAGAGAGAAAAATCAGAGGGAGTCAGAGAGAGAGAGAGAGAGAAAGAGAGAGAGAGAGAGAGGGAGATCAGATAATGCAAAATTAAATATTCTCATTTTTACGACTTTAAAATGAATTATATATATAAAATTAAAATATTTAAAATGTATATACACCCTCGATGAATTTAATAACTTTTCATAGTAGTTTATTCGTCCAATTAGGTTTTTGTATTTTTGAAATGCCTTTTTTGCCCATGCACATTTCTACTAAGTTATATAAATTATAAACTTCATTTTTTATTTCAATAACTAAAACCTCAATACATGGGTAACATTGAAACTTTTAAAGGGAGATGAATTGAGAAGACATAAGATCCAATTTTTAAATTGATGTTAGTTGAAAAATGATTACAAAATCATAATAGAAATATAGCTAATTAATCTTGTTTGTGTCTTGTAGAATGAACTTGAGAATAGTTTTTGAAAAATATTTTCAGAAAAAATCTTAAATCTATAAGGGCTATGTGTTTTTACTAAAACTAAAAAGGAAGCAAGATAACTTTGTGAAATTGAATTGATAAAATTATAAAATTAGAATAATATTTAAGGTGAATAATATTTTATTAAGTTAGCTATATATGATTAATACTCATTAATTTCAGAAATTTATACTTTATTTTATGATTCAAACACAATTAAAAATGTGAATTTTTTTACAAAAAAAAAAAATTACTCATTGAGATGGAAAGCACCTGCAATGCCCATACGTTAAAACTAGAGAGATCAGCTAATACAAAATCAAATATTCTCATTTTTAGGACTTTAAAATGAATTATATATAAAAAATAAAATATTTAAAATGTATATGCACACTCAATGAGTTTAATAACTTTTCATCGTAATTTATTCGTCCTATTAAGTTTTTGTATTTTAGAAATGCCTTTTTTGCCCATGCACATTTCTACAAAGTTATATAAATTATAAAATTTTTTTATTTCAATAATTAAAACCTCAATACGTGGGTAACATTGAAACCTTTAAAGGGAGATAAATTGAGAAGACATAAGATTCAATTTTTAAATTGATGTTAGTTGACAAATGATTACAAAATCATAATATAAATATAGCTAATTAATTTTGTTTGTGTCTTGTCGAATGAACTTGAGAATAGTTTTTAAAAATATTTTCAGAAAAATCTTAAATCATTAAGGGCTATGTGTTTTTACTAAAACTAAAAAGGAAGCAAGATAACTTGTGAAATTAAATTAATAAAATTATAAAATTAGAATAATATTTAAGATGAATATTATTTTATTGAGTTAGCTATATATCATTAATATTTATCAATTTCAGAAGTTTATACTTTATTTTATGATTCAAACACAATTTAAAAGTATAATTTTTTTCACAAAAATAAAATAAAATTACTCATTGAGATAGAAAACACGTGCAATGCCCATACGCTAAAACTAGTACATTGATAAGATGATGTCACACTAGTTTGTGTGCATCTTTATTATAGGTATCACTTATTTTTCACTAGCATAGGTATCAAATAACTTAGTCTGCCAAAAGCATAAGTATCAAATAACCTAATATTTTTTTTTGTCTTTACTGAGATTAAACCCTGATTTCTTAAATTTATTTATATTTTACTGATTACTAAGTCACAACTTTAGGGAGTCCATTACTCAAATGGTCACTCAACTATCCCAAATTATCAGCTAAAGTCACTTTTCTTTCGTTTGTAACAACGAAGTCACTTAACTATGCCTGTAGTACTCAGAAGGCCATTCACTAGATTTTTCAAATTTTAGATTGCCAAATACCTATTTTACCCTCTACATTATAAACATTTACCTTTTTTTTTCTTCAACTTTTTAATATTATGATTTTTTCCTTTTGTAGTTTATATTATGGACTTACCTACAGAATAAAGAAATTTTATCTATAAATTAAAAAAATAGAAAGTATTTAATCATATATAATGCTGGAATATTAATGAGCATAATAAACAAATTAATTAGAGTAATTTGTTCGTAATAATAATTTTAGTATTAACAACAAAAATTCAAAAATTTATTTACAATTGAGAATGAAAGAAAATAAAGGTTGTAAAATTTATATTCCATTCATGTAATGTAAAAATAATTATTTAAATAAAGGTATTTTTATAATATACATATATATTCTTGAAAATTATGTTTAATTATATTATTATTCCGTCATTATATGAGCTGAAAACTAATTTTTTTATTTAAATAAAATATATTTATTCTATAGGCAAGTCCACAATGTAGATTAAAAAGAGAAAAAATTATTGGGATAGTTGAGTGACCATTTGAGTAATAGACTCCAACTTTAAATGCATAAAAGAGTAACCTTTTTTATTAATATATTTTTGATGATATGTGTATATAAGTAAACAAAATGTGTATCAGATTTTATATAAAATGGTATATAGTTAAAATATAGATTAAAAAATATTTTAAATCACAAATTTCTATAATCAAAAAATTCTGTAACTCTTTTTTAACTCTTAAAATTATGTGATAAAAGTGCCATTTTAAAGTAAAATTACTACTACTACTATTTAAAAGGAAAAACGAAAACGCCCACCCCCCCCCCCAACCCCCAA